GATTGTTCCGAACGTTAGCAAAGAGATCAATTGTGTGAGGCCCCCAGCGTCGTTCCAAGAGGCGAAACCAAGGTGCATGTAGGGAGTAGTCGTCAAAATCTTGCATCTTGGATAGGTCATCCGCATGGGCGTTGAGCTCCCTCGGAATCCATTCGATCGCGAGGCGTGTTGTGTTGCCGAGGCAGAACTGGATAATCGCTTGGCATGTCGACGTAAGATCCGCCTGACGGGATCCCCCCTTGCGCAAGATAAACATGACTGCCTGGTTGTCCACCCGGACGAGGACGTGAGCGCCCACGATTTGGGTTGCGAACGTCCGCAGTGCCCAGAGCACTCCCTCGAGCTCTCGCCGCGTACTAGATGTGGGGAGAAGCCCTTGTGGCATGCACTCGCTTGCCTCGCATGATGTACTTGGGAACTTGGCCAAGGTGGCACCCCAGCTGTGCGCGCTCGCGTCGACATGTATCACTGCATCAAAACGCTGACTCTGGTGGAATGGGGCGCCATTGAAACGATCAAAGTGCACTGTCCAAAACAGCAGCTCCTCGGTCGCTCCTGGTGACAATAAAACCTTTGAGTTCCATGACCATGCGGAGTCGATCAAGTGGAGCAGCTCATGGCTGAAGGCCCGCGCCGTCGTGCCCAGCGCGAGCGACATGGAGCTGAGAAATCCAGTGATCCGGGCTATCTTGCGAATCGGCACTTGACGACCCGATTGCCCTTTTTGTATAAGTAGGTGGAGCTCCTGCAGTAGTTGTTCGCGCCGATCCTTTCCGACCAGGAACATCCCTCGTTCCGTGTCAAGCTCCATCCCCAAAAAGCGCAAGTGGTGTGCGGGATGCAGGTGTGATTTCTTAGAATTTATCACGAATCCTACCGCCTTCAAGTCGTGGAGAACTTCGACGCACGTCGAACGGGCTTGCGCCTCGGAGTTGTAGAGGAATAGTAGATCGTCCACGTATGGTATTACGCGCACTCCGCGCGCGCGCCATTTCTTGGCTAGTTGCTTAATAAGCTGGGTGAAGATGAACGGGGCTGTTGCGAGGCCGAAAGGTAAGGATGTGAAGCAATAGAATTTTCCGCCCAATTGAAAGCCCAAAAACTTCCTGCATGATGGGTGGATTTCGACGTGGTGGTAGCCTGACTTGAGATCGATTGTGAACATCCAGTCGTGTGGGCGAATGATTTCCGCGACCTGACTCAAGCCTTCGTACTTGAACTTGGGAACTTGGAGGTGAGCGTTGACCTTCCGCAGGTCAAGGATGAGCCGGCATTTGTCTCGTTGCTCCACAACATTGAGCGGGCTGATGCACGTCAGTGCGGCTTTCGACGAGACATGCATCGCGGCGCCTGACGCGATGAGGTCGCCAACTGTGTCTTGGGTGAATGCCATGTGTGCTTGAACGCCTGCGTGATTGGGCGCTTCGAAGGGGAGAGGCTCTGCGCCCTTCCATGGTAGCCAGTACCCTTTGGCAATGATGGAAAGGATAAGACTGCTGTCGCACCATGATAGCCACCAATGGAGGCTGTTGCGCAATCGCATTCGCATGATGGACACCATGTTGTCCATTATTGCGTGCTCGTATGGGTCCCAATGAGCACTCCGCCACTCGCCTTCCACTTCTGCAATTAATGGGCAACCGAGGTTGTGTGGGGGGGGACCAGGGCCAAGGTCGATTAGACGCGAGATAATACGGGACACTTCGTCGGGCAAACTATGTCGCTTGTCTTCTACCGCCGTCGTGCCTCCCCGCACTCCCGAGGTTTTTTTTTTTTTTTTTTTTTACTTTGCTTGCGCAGTCATCAGCTTTAATACCCTTGCAAGGTTTTTTTTTTTTTTTTTTTTACATTGCCTTACAACGAGATTGGCGCATTTGCGTCACTTGGTCCCACGACCTTATTCATCACGATGTCGTCGTGATAGTTCCTCTCTCTCTCTCTCTCTCTCTCTCTCTCTCTCTCTCTCTCTCTCTCTCTCTCTCTCCCTCTCTCGCTCTCTCTCTCTCTCTCCGTCTCCCTTTCTCTCTCTCTCTCTCTCTCTCTCTCTCTCTCTCTCTCTCTCTCTCTCTCTCTCTCTCTCTCTCGCTCTCTCTCTCTCTCTCTCACTCTCTCTCGCTCTCTCTCTATCTCTCTCGCCCTCCCTCGTTCTCTCTCTTTCTCTCTCTCTCTCTCTCTCTCTCTCTCTCTCTCTCTCTCTCTCTCTCTCTCTCTCTCTCTCTCTCTCTCGCTCTCGCTCTCTCTCTCTATCTCGCTCTCCCTCCCTCTCCCTCGCTCTCTCTCTCTCTCTCTCTCACTCTCTCTCTCTCTCTTTCTCTCTCTCTCTCTCTCTCTCTCTCTCTCTCTCTCTCTCTCTCTCTCTCTCTCTCTCTCCTTCTTCTTTGTTCTTCTCTCGGTCCTTGCTTTGTCTTGCACTCCTGGCCAATTCCTCCTCCGTGGCTGCCTTCCTCAAGAGGGGGCTGATGTTTTATTTGTTGTGCCATTTGTCTTCTCGTTTCGTGTTGGCTCCCTTTCTCTCTCTCCATTGTTCGTTTTTTTTTTTTTTTCAATAACAACAATCTTTTATTAATCCACACAAGGGCATACAAGCCAAGCCTACACCATAACCAGCCCCTACGGCTGCCATCTTGTCCTGGCCCCCATGGCCTATCCTACTCCCCAAGGCTCCTAACCAGCCTACGCACCACCGGTGCATCCACCTACGCCCCCCGGCATAGTGGCAAGGGGCGCCGCCCCATGGGTCCTCTCACACCACGGGTGCGGGACCTTGTGCGCCACGCCCTCCCATAGGGCAATTATTTGCCATATGGCCGGGCTGGCCGCAACGGAAACACACCCCCTTGAAGCGGGGCTTGTGGCAGCCCGCGGGTGGCATGCCTTTGCTTTCCGGTTCACCGTCTCGAGGGGGAAGGCGGCCTCCGCGGGCGAAGCCGGTACGTGCACGCTTGAGGGCCGCCACGTCGGCTACCGCGAGCTTGTAAGAGCGGGATGTGAGCACGCTCTTGGCTTGGTACAGCTGGAACCGATCCGCCGCTTCGAAACCGGCCTCATCCGCCACCAAGAGCACCTCGAAGCGTTTGTTGATCAACGTGTCGATTTGCTCCACGTTGGAGAGCGCGCCCTCGACGTCGCCGTTTTGGAGCTTGAACTCGACGTGCCTCAGGTGAGCTTGAATTGCAGAGAACACCTCCGCCTGGTCACGCACTCCCTTGCGCATGAAGGTAGTAGCTGCGGGTGAAGGGTTGAGGGGGGGAAGGGGAGGTGCGGGTGCGAGAATGCGACAACGGGCAAGGTTGTCGGGGGCCTCACCGTCTTCATTTTCTGAGTCGTCGCTGTCGTCGGGGATACGGGCTTGGGTTGGTGCCGGAGCTGGGGCGGGAGCAGGAGCAGCGTTGTTGGTGCGAGCGATTTTGGTGGAGCGGGGAGCCGCGTCAGGTTCCTTCTGCTTTTCGATTTTAGCTGACGCAGAAATTTCTTCAGCTGATGTAGCTGCAGTCGACTGTGCGTGCTGCTGCAATAACGAGAGCAGCGTCTGTAGTTGCTGCGCGGTCAAAGGGGTGGGGGCGGCGTTGACCGGGGTGACGTCAGCGGAGGGTGCCGCGCGCTGGCGTTTCTGGGTCGTGGGCCCGGATGGACCCGCGTCAGCGCCGGTCAAGACGACCGCCGCGTCAGCGGCGGTCGTCGTCTTCTGCGCAGCACGCGCGTGCCTGCCAGGCACGCGCTCTTCAGCAGCAGCCACGCGCGACTGTACAACAGTCGCACGTTCCTCAGGGGGGGTCCGAAGGGCGCCTCCGAGCAGGAGGTCGACCGCCGAAGGTCCCTCGCTTGAAATTTCCTCGGCGGGACGTTTTCCGCCGCGACGATCCGTTGTCACGGCCGGAGTCGAGGTTTCCGCCGCGTTACCGGGGCTAGAATTATTCGAATTGTCGCGGTTAAGTGCCGGGTTGACCGGAGCCATCGTTGCGAGGTTGCGCTTAAGGATGTCGTTAAGGAGCGTTGACGGGGCAGTGAAACGCGGAAGCGACTGAGTCTTCGCCAGTGTGGACGAGAACAAAATTAGAACTACAATTTTGAAAATGAAAACGTGGGTGGGGACGAATGTCCCCACATCCCTCTTTTGTAGGCAAAAGAGGGTGACTAGCGCTTCGGCGCTACCTTTGCTGTGTTGGCCACGTACCCCTTTTCACAATACAAAATTTTAGAAAGTGTTACATTTCATTACACTTTAAAAAATTATCATATTGCACATGGTACCGTCTCCCCCCGGATATAAGCGCCACCCTAGGATAAGCGCCTGGCGCTTCTAATTGGCATATGGCGCTTATATCCCCTCCTCAATTATAAGCGCACCCCTTGAAAAAACTTGTTTTATTATAAGCGCACGTAAACTTTAAAATTTGAAATGTGTTCAAAAAGCTGTAACGATTTTTACTTTAGCAGGCGGATATGTTGCAGATTCGGTTCCCTTCACATTCGGACCCTGCACTGGATGCGGGTCCAGTCAGCAGGACCTGTCAGGAGCTGGATGTGAGTCAGATTGGGTGTATCTCCCAGCGCGCGCGAGAATTTCACAGACGATCCCATGTAACTTCGACTCGATTGAAAAGGCAAGCACGAGACCTACAGTTTGGTGTTAAAATATATAAAAAAATATGTATGTCATTTTATAAACGCCGGCGCTTATAAATTTACTCGATTATAAGCCCACCCCCATGAAAAAACCTGTTTTATTATTGCCCCCCATGGGGGTATATCCGGGGGGAGACGGTACAGCCAATAGCCAATCAAAGATGTGTGTTTAGATTTACGGTATTAAAACCGAAATATAAAATTGTGAAGGCCGTCCCAGCTTGAAATCGCTGCGATGAGTTCGGCGGAAAACACTGTTCGAAACAAAAGGAGTAGGAAGAGGAAACTCATTTGATTGGCTCACACCTCCGTGAAATTTTCTGGATCCCGCCAAAACGACTTTTGGGGCACACGGCACGCCGTCGCATTTCTACATGCTGCACCCACACGACCGTTGTCCAGCGATGGTTTCCATCGCTGGGCAAACTTCCACTTCAAGTTGGAACTGGGTTCACAACTAGCTGATTTTCAGTCACGAAGTAGCATAGCATAGCTGAGAACGCCTATTTTTTACTGGCCTAGGCACGTGCCGTAACTATCGACTTAGCTCACATGCGTAATATATTAGCTTAGTATGAATCGTCACCCCCTACTCGCCTGCGAATCAGCCTTCCCCTCCTTTCTCCCACGAGCCACCTCGTTTCCGTCGCGATTTCGGTAAGTCGCCTCGAATCGGCCTTCCGACCGTCCTTCCTCTCTCCCCCTCCACTTCGGAGCCATCGCCTCTCCTCGAATCGGCCTCCCGTCGCCTTTCGAGTCTCCCTTAGCATCTCCACTTCGTCGCCCTCTCACTCGCCCTCTCGTTCCCTCGTTTTGCAACTATATCTCCTTTGTCCTCACGTCGCCGTCTTGTTCTCCCTCTGCTATCGCGTTACCGCGACCCATTTTAGCCTTTTTCTTTTGTTTTTTTCGTGCAGTTAATCCATCCATCGCCCTCTCTCTCTCCCCTCCCTTCCCGTCGCCCTCGCTCTCTCCCCTCGCTTCCCGTCGCCCTCTCTCTCTCCCCTCCCTTCCCGTCGCCCTCTCTCTCTCCCCTCCCTTCCCGTCGCCCTCTCTCTCTCCCCTCCCTTCCTGGTGACCTCGCTCTCTCCCCTCCCTTCCCGTCGCCATCGCTCTCTCTCCTCCCTTCCCGTCGCCCTCTCTCTCTCCCCTCCCTTCCCGTCGCCATCGCTCTCTCCTCTCCCTTCCCGTCGCCCTCTCTCTCTCTCTCTCTCTCTCTCTCTCTCTCTCTCTCTCTCTCTCTCTCTCTCTCTCTCTCTCTCTCTCTCCCCTCCCTTCCCGTTGCCCTCGCTCTCTCCCCTCCCTTCCCGTCGCCATCGAGTTCTCCCCTCCCTTCCCGTCGCCATCGCAAGATGCAGTCGTCGTGCTCTTCGCGCCCTTCTTCCCTGCCCTCCCATCACCCTACCTCTTTCCGCGATTTTTGCACACTTGTATCTCTCCTCACGCCCCGTTGCGATTTGTGCACACTTATATCTCTCCTCACGCCCCGTTTCCGTCGCCCTGTCGCGTTCTTCTCTGGTCACCCTGCTAACTCTCTGGTTTTTCCGTTCTTTTTGTTCCTCGATGCTGTTTTTGCCGCCATACAGGTTTTTGGCTAAGGGCGTCTTACAGTTTTTATTTTTTTCGTCCGGATGGCCAATCGTCCGGACGATTGTGTGGTTACAGAACTCGTCAATTCTCGGCAGTGAGCTCGTTAGGGTCTAAACAACGTCGTATTCTTCGTATTGCCTCCTTACGACTTCGCTTTGGTCGCAAAGCGACCGTACGACGTCGCAATCTTCGCACGCGTCCGAACAGCCGTCCGGACTATCAGCGACTTAAAAAAATGTAACACGCCCTAAGGCGTTTTGCTGTGCGTGAATTCCACATCTGTGAAATTGGCACTGCATGTGAATGAGACTTGCGTGTCGCAAACTTGCGACACATTTGTAGTGCACATGCTTGCGACGCCTTTTGTTGGTGTAAGGAAATTCCCTTTTCCTTACTTCGCATCCCTGCTCAAACGCGTACATCACTGTAGCACCTCAGTCAGCACCGTTACCACTCGCGACCATCGCATCATTCATCATCCCGCCATTTTTCGCACATCGCATCCCGACCTCACGGCTCGGCTGGTAACCCGCGCTCCAGGCCTACGCTTCGACACTTTCCCAACCTCAGTCCCAGGCTCGTCGCGCGACCATTACCGTTACCACTGTAGTTTCGCTATATATTCTTCGCTCATGCCTTCGCTCATTGTACTCTTGCTTCGATAGTGCAATTCTCGTTCATTCACTCAATTGCACTCGTAACACTTGGTATTCAGAGCCTACGATCCCATCTCGGACCGCATCCACACCTTCGCTTCCCCACTATCTCAATTTTTGGGGGGGTAGACGTCTCTCAGCGATACAGCACCGCCGCTCGTAGTGCTCTCTCGCAAGCACGCACGGCCACGACCGAGGCTCTCGCTGAGCTTGCCCGACACCCCCGCCATGGCCGACTTCACGCTCGCCACATTGACGCAGGAGCAACTTGATCGTCTCGTGCGTCAACTGGGCGCTTGAAATCGCGACACTCACGGCGGAACGTGACTCCGCCCGTCAACAATCCACGGTGAACATACCGACGACATCCCACGCACCAACAAACGCATCTGCACATTCGGATGAGCCGATCATCATCTCGTCCGGCACACCAACACAACACGACAGCACGGGACAACGCTCAGGCGCAGCCAGTGAGGGCGCCGCCCAGCCGATGCCTGGCATGGGAGGAAACAGGATCGCACCAAGCCCACGGGAGCCTCGAGAAGTCCGTCGACACGTGGAATTTGCGGCGACAAGTGGCGAACAATCCAACATGGCACCAATGCCGCTCAAGCCGCAACGCCCGCCCTGCTTCAACCCAAGTCAACGCGGCGGTCCGACAGTTCAATCGTGGGTCTTCACGATGAACGTTTTCTTTGACGCCAATTACGTCGAGTCGGACGCCGCAAAGATCCGGTATGCGGTTTCACTGCTAAGGGGCCCCGCCATGGACTGGTGGCGAGTCATCGTGACGTCGCCACGCGCCTACGAGCCACCGTCGCACGAGGAAGGGCCCTCGGGTCCAGCTGTCACCTGGAGTTCGTTCTGCGAGACCGCCCAATACAGCACGTGGGATGCGTGGTGCGCAGGGCTTCGGGCGCGCTTTGAGCCGATCGCGGCTTCAATTTCGGCGCGTCAGAAACTGCGCACTTGGCGCAAGCTCGGGTCAGTTCAAGACTATACCAACGGTTTTCTCGCACTTTGCGAGCAGGTGGGCTACATGCACGAAGCGGAGCGGGTGGACCGTTACGTCGGAGGGCTGAAGCCGGACATCTCGCATGAGATAATGCTGCGCGGACTCTCTAATTTCAACGAGATTCTCGCGCTCACCGAGAAGATCGACATTCTACGCCGACCGAGACCGGGGTCCTATTACGGACATCGTCCTCGGGGACCGACCGAGCACGCCACTGTACACGCCGTCGCAACGAATGCAGCTGCCGCACCGTTTATGGGGCGCTGCTTTGCTTGCAACAGGCCGGGCCATCGCAAGAGCGAATGCCCAGAGGAGCTGAGGCGCCGAGGAGCAGAGAAGGGGAGGGAGTCTCAGAGGCAGGGAAACGCTAGCAGTCAGTAGAAGTTGGGCCAACTACTGACGAGACTGCCTGCTCGCCCAACCACACCGACCCTCACCGAGTCACAGTACCGATTCATGCCATCGATCGGGCTCGGATGAATAAGGAGGGTACAGCGACGGATCGCCCGGTACTAATCTACGGGAAAATACAGGGAGCAGCAGTGAAGATTTTTATTGACGGAGGAGCAAGTCACAGCTTAGTTAATACCGCAACCGCACGGAAATTACAGTTAACACTTAACCGATGCTTACCTGAGATAGATGCACGCTTAGTCGACGGCACGCCACTTGCTATACGGGAAAAGATGGAGAGAGTAAAAGTCCGCTGCGGAGGGAACTTCGGGTTTACACAGGAAATGCTCGCAACGGCACTGGATGGGGACGACATTTTATTGGGACGTGATTGGCTGCGACGGTATAACCCACGAATTGACTGGACGACGGGTAGCTGCACAGTGCGAAGTAGTGGTAACTGGGTCGTCCTACCTCGCTGGCAGCCACCCGAGTCTTCGACAGTCCAGGTCAACGCCATCACGATGAAACGGGCTGTCGCTGCTGGAGCTGACGTGTACGCAGTGGATATCGCATTAGTGGAAAAAGAGGAGCAGCCCAGTGATTTGCAGAAACTGTTGGCAGCCGTACCACCCGAACTACAGGCACTACTGAAACGGTTCCCGGGTATCTTTCCGGATGACTTACCGCAAGGACTGCCACCTCAGCGGGCGCATGACCATAAGATCGAGTTAGAACCGGGGGCACAGCCAACTGTACAGCGCCAATTTCGACTGACACAGCCCGAGCTCGACGAGCTAAGGAAGCAGTTAGATTACCTGTTAGAGAAGCAGTTTATCCGACCGAGCTCGTCACCGTTCGCCGCGCCGATACTGTTCACACCGAAAAAAGACGGAGGGTTTCGCACGTGCATCGACTACCGAGCGCTTAACAGGGTAACAGTAAAATCACGATACCCCATCCCCCGCGCCGACGAACTGATCGACCAGCTACGAACCGCACGAGTATTATCGAAAATAGACTTACGGGGAGGTTACCATCAAATTCGGGTCGAACCATCGGACTGCGCCAAGACAGCATTTAGGACTAGGTACGGGTCATTCGAGTACACGGTGATGCCTTTCGGGCTGACCAACGCGCCTGCGACATTTCACATGACCATGAACGAGGTGTTTAGGCCACTTTTAGATAAATGCGTCATAGTTTACCTCGACGACATCCTCGTTTACAGTCGGGACCAGCAGCAGCACTTAGTAGATCTCGAAGCAGTTTTTAAAATTTTAGAGGCACATCGTGACAAAGTTTGAAGAAAGAAAGAGGATTGAACTAGCAAGAATGAGGATACAAATAGCAAACCCTAGAAGGGTTGTACTCGCTATAGAGCACCCCACTACAGGCTAGAACATAAGATAATATTCTGACACATCGGTTACTCACCAAGGGCTCCAAGTGCGAGTTTTTTCACGACCGGCTAGAATTTTTAGGTCACGTCATTTCGGAGGCTGGGGTTGAGATAGACCCTAAGAAGCTGGATACCGTAAAAGTGTGGCATCCCCCGACGAACATCACGGAACTGCAGAGTTTTTTAGGGTTTGTTAATTACGTTCGTCGGTTCGTCCCCAACATGGCACGCTTAACAGCCCCGCTCACTGATTTACTGCATAAGGGGGCCTCTTTTACGTGGGGGGAGAAAGAGCATGCTGCCTTCTCTGCCCTGAAAAATGTTCTCTGTGTCAAACATTATATATGTTATGCTTGTGTAGGCTACAGTGGGTTAGCCTATAGGGGGTACACAATTCTAGGGTTTCCTACTTGTACTCATTTCACTGCTAGTTCATTCATTCCTGTTCGCTTATTCTCACATGGTATAGAGCGGGTCCTTCTACGGACCGTTTTTTTGGGCCCACCGAAGCGCCCCCCGAGGCGCGATCTTTTTTTTTAGCGACCCCTCGGGTCGCCATTTCCCCTGCGGCCCCGCCGCCTTCACTGACGCGGCCCCGCCGCCCTCTCTGTCGCGGCCCCGCCGCCTGCTCTCACGCGGCCCCGCCCCGGCTTCTACGCGGCCCCGCCCCGGCTTTCACGCGGCCCCGCCGACGGCTTTGTCGCGGCCCCGCCCAGGCCCTTACGCGGCTCCGCCGCCTCCTCTCCCGCGGCCCCGCCCCGGCTCCTTCGCGGCCCCGCCGCCTGCTCTCGCGCGGCCCCGCCCCGGCTTCTACGCGGCCCCGCCCCGGCTTTCACGCGGCCCCGCCGACGGCTTTGTCGCGGCCCCGCCCAGGCCCTTACGCGGCTCCGCCGCCTGCTCTCACGCGGCCCCGCCCCGGCTCCTTCGCGGCCCCGCCACCTGCTCTCGCGCGGCCCCGCCCCGGCTTCTACGCGGCCCCGCCCCGGCTTTCACGCGGCCCCGCCGACGGCTCTGTCGCGGCCCCGCCCAGGCCCTTACGCGGCCCCGCCGCCTGCCCCCGTCGCGGCCCGGTCACCTCCTGACGGCCCCGCCGTCCCTTCGTGACGGCCCCGCCGTCCCTTCTAGACGGCTCCTGCCGTCCCCTTCTACCGGCCCCGCAACTCCACCTGCTGGCCCCGCCGCTGCACCTACCGGCCCCCCACCACCCACCCCCCCTTTTCCCGTCACCTGTCGAGGCGACCTGAGGGGGGCCGCTTGCGGAGAGGCCAGCAGAGGGGTGGCAGGTGTGTGGCCTCCCCTGCTTCTCCTCCTCCTTTATCTCCCACTGCAGCAGCCGAGCCGCTCACCTGCAGCAGCCGAGCCGCCCCACAGCCGAGCCGCCCTGCCGCCGAGCCGCCGGGTCGCTGAGCTGCTGAGCTGCAGTTGCTGCCGAGCCGCCCTGCCGCCAAGCCGCCAAGTCACCGAGCTGCTGAGCTGCAGTTGCTGCTGAGCCGCCTTGCCGCCGAGCCGCCCGAGTCGCCCGAGCCGCCGAGCCGCCGA